CAAACGTATCGAAAAATATGATATTTATCAGTGCTAAAAGTAACAACGGAACTAGATACATTTTAGCAGGTTATCAATAATTTAAAAAATCACATCCACAGGGCAGATATTAAAGGCCCATATTACACTATTTTCTGGTCTATGTTGTTATTTCCTCATCATAAAATCCTGCATATTTCCTGCTCACCCACTGCACCAGGTTAGACGGACAGAGGAGTAGAGGTCTGCGCGGGACAGAATTTTCAGTCCTACTCCTGCCCACGCCCGCAAAGAATTGTAATTTACATTCCAGCTTCCACCCGCAAATCCTGCAAGATGGGGACTTTCGCTTTTTTAAGCTCTATCAAACACGGAGAAGTGGAAAAGAATTTGCGCAAGATTAGACCACATCTGCAAGTTTAGGCTTCTTGAAATGTTTTTATAAATGCCAAATAAAATATCCAGCACAAATGATGTATGATAGGCTAACGTGAATCATTTGTACATTTTACTTTACACTCATATTTAGTTTTGCGGGACTGTAGTTTATCATCCCACCCGCTCGCTCCTGCACTGTGCAGTCCCGCCTACACCTGCAGTGAGCTTTCAAAATGTGTCCCGTGCCGTACTGTTTTGCATCAGGTCCCGCGGAAGTGCAGGGCTCTACAGGAGCTCCTTCTCCTACAGCTCTGCTCAAACAGTGAGAGATACAGGACTACATTCATACCATACTCCATACAACTGTACAACTCACCCTTATGTAACATATAATACTCCCTACAACTGTACAACAAGTCACCCTTATGTAACGGATAATACTCCCTACAACTGTACAACAACTCACCCTTATGTAACAAATAATACTCCCTACAACTGTACAAACTCACCCTTATGTAACATAATACTCCTACAACTGTACAACTCACCTTATGTAACATACTCCTACAACTGTACAACTCACCTTATGTAACAAGTAATACTCCCTACAACTGTACAACAACTCACCCTTATGTAACATAATACTCCCTACAACTGTACAACAACTCACCCTTATGTAACATAATACTCCCTACAACTGTACAACAACTCACCTTATGTAACATATAATACTCCCTACAACTGTACAACAACTCACCCTTATGTAACAGATAATACTCCCTACAACTGTACAACAATCACCTTATGTAACAATAATACTCCCTACAACTGTAAACAACAATGTAACTCACCTGTACAACAATACATGTAACAACTCCTACAACTACAACAACTCACCCTATGTAACAGATAATACTCCCTACAACTGTACAACAACTCACCCTTATGTATAACAATAATACTCCCTACAACTGTACAACACTCACTATGTAACAATAACCCTACAACTGTAATATGTAACAATACTCCCTACACTGTACAACAACTATGTAACAATACTCCCTACAACTGTACAACAACTCACCCTTATGTAACAAGTAATACTCCTACAACTGTACAACAACTCACCCTTATGTAACAATAATACTCCCTACAACTGTACAACAACTCACCCTTATGTAACAATAATACTCCCTACAACTGTACAACAACTCACCTTATGTAACGGATAATACTCCTACAACTGTACAACACTCACGTACATGTACAATAATACTCCCTACAACTGTACAACAACTCACCCTTATGTAACAATAATACTCCCTACAACTGTACAACAACTCACCCTTATGTAACAATAATACTCCCTACAACTGTACAACAACTCACCTTATGTAACAATAATACTCCCTACAACTGTACAACAATCACCCTTATGTAACGATAATACTCCCTACAACTGTACAACAACTCACCCTTGTGTAACAAGATAATACTCCCTACAACTGTACAACAACTCACCCTTGTAACAAGATAATACTCCCTACAACTGTACAACAACTCACCATTATGTAACGGATAATACTCCCTACAACTGTACAACTCACCCTTAAAAAACAGATAACCCTATGTCCTGTCAATCATCATATCATTGTTGCTCGGTTTTCCTCTGACCTCTTGTACAAAGCTGTGATTTTATATTTATTATTATACTTATTTTTCTATTTTATTCTGACTTGTGCAATTACATTTATATAATTTTGTCTTATTTGACACTTGTCTCTTGCTATATTTTTTGCTACTTAATTAGAATTTATTATTACCATGTATTATTAGTTTTTCTCTTTTTTATTATATTATATTGTGATGTGTGAGCTACTGGGTCGAAATAATTTCCTTTGTGGATAAATAAACTTTGTCTATGTCTAATATTTAGGATGAGTTCTTCTCCCAAACAGAAAACACTCAGTACCACCTTGCGATGTCAGGAAGTGCTCCACTGTGTTTCTAAGCTCCATACAACTTTACGAGACTCATTTGGATCATTTCTGCCCTGGAATTGCCAAACTCTACTGAACTATAGGTAAAAGGAAGCTGTTAACTTGAAAACTACCACTGCATGACATCGCAAGGTGGAAGAGAGCATTTTGAGCTTCAGGGATGTAGACAGACTAATAATAAAGGATTAGTCAAACGTGTGAATGACACAAAACACAGCTCCAGGTCTGTTTTTGAGGAGGGGACAACATTCTAACATGGCTAAAAGCTCATAAAAGTAAATTTTGTGTAATATAGGACGTTTAACCTTTCTTAAATCGCTTTACAATGATCACGTAACAAGTAAAAGACCACATAGACTAGTATACATGGAACCTAGCTGAATAACTGAGGGATTACAAAGATATAAGACCACATGGTAATATAAAGCCAAATTTGTTGAAAATTGCATTCTATTGTTTTTTTTTTTTATATCACTGTGGTTTCAAAATTAGTATGACTATCGAGCGAGTCTGTTCCTTCGAAATTGAGTTTGAAATGTTAGTATTATGGCAGCACTAGACTGGACTATGATACCTCCTCATTCAAATTCTCAATACCAATACACATTTTTTTCCTCCATACTCCTGTCTGCTTCTCAATTTTCACATAGGGGAAGTTTATTTCAGCTCTGTGCTCCTCCTGGTATATTTTAAAGTACAACTCACTTCACTTACTGCAATATATGGTAGTCTAGACTTTCAATGTTCTGAACACAATAATAGACTAATCAGCCGGGTTCATTTGATGCGCTGGTTTTCTAAAGAGTCTGTGTTTTAGTCTAAAGAGCTCATGGCTTTACTGGTCAGAATGAATGTCAAAAATATTGGGTACATTAGCGAAAGCAAAATAAAAGAGTAAACAAAGAGAATGGAACAACCTGATAACCTGCTGAGTCACACTGCTAAATAGATGTATCACTCTAAAAACTCAGAATACTTTTGAATGAATGAAGTAAGGAGTATTTAGCAGCCTAAAATCTCCACCAAGACCAAATAAAAATTCTGATAATATGTACCAACAGTGTTGATATGGACATGAGGCAGGTGACAATGCTGTAGTAGAATTCACTATGGAACTGTCTTTTCACATATTGATGTTTTGAGCTGATTTATGGTCAGTATCCCTAAAATTATAGGCTCTATCAACATGCAGTAAGAATCTACACTGCCAGTCAAAAGTTTTAGAACACCCTAATTTTTCCCAGTTATTTATTGCAATTCAAGTCATGCAAGTCCAATGAAGAGCTTGAAAAAGTACTAAGGTAAGTAGTGAACAGAGAGAGGTTAAAAAAATAAAATAAAAGATACAAAATACAAGTCCAAGCTCTGCCAAAACTACCCCAGGAAAAAAGAACAAGATGGTGAGCTTGAAAACATGGAGTGGCCAGCACAGTCTCCAGACTTAAGCCCCATCAAGCTGGTTTTGGGATGAACTGGACAAAAGAGTCAAAGCCAAGCAACCTACAAGTGCCACACATTTATGGGAACATCTGCAACAAACTTGGGAAGAACTTTATGAAGAATATTTGATTTCTATTGTAAAAAGTATGCCACGAGTGTGTCCAGCTGTTATATCTGCCAACGGTGGAGACTTTGATGAGTCAAAAGTTTAGAATACGTTTTGGTCTATAAATTGATTCCATGATTTCTTTTTTTAAATCAAATTGCTTATTTGTTTCTATGCTTTCATTTCAGAGAGCAATGACAAAATAAACTATATAACTAAATATTTTCAGTCAAAAACTTGCAAAAGTATGGTGTTCTAAAACTTTCGATCAATAGTGTACATTGTTGAGCGTTTTTGCTCAAAAAAATGCAATAGAACAGAGCTATAGAAATTACTAAATTAAAGTGCAATTTATTGTCACCATAGGCAATATTGTCCTCTGCTTTTCACCCATTCTTCAATGCCACAGTCAGTCAGTGCTGACAGAAAAGATATTAAAGGTGCACTGTGTAACTTTTCAGTTGAGGGTCCATCTCATGTTTGTTTTTATAGACATAGCATTGCTCTATCTAGAATGTTCCACAGTGTGACATTAAACAGCTCTTCCTCACATTAATTCAATTACAGGTGGTTTTGTAGCCCAAAAATACCCAGAAAAACAGGCATTCTGATTGTGAGCGATGTTCCTCTCCACAGATCTGATCTGTAACTTGGTCTAGTTTGGCCTCCATGAAGATAGAAATGTTTAATTATTATATTATGTTTTTTCTTCATCAAAGCAATAACATCTCCAAGGAGAAAAGCATTTGACAGACCCTCCACCAGAAAAGTTATACAATGCACCTTTAAACTTTGGGTGATTTTATATTTTTTGGAAAGATGTTGTTGAAATTTTATGAGGTAAATCTAAAATAGCATCTCTGCCAATTTCAGTGTTTTAGTTACACTATGGAAGCATAGTTATTATATAAGTCATTTTCTCTCATAATTTACTGAGTACAAATGTCACTTATTGCTATTTTTTCAGAAAAGTTGTATACTATATCACTTTTATGTTTAAGCTAAGGAGTGTGATGTTTTGTTATGCCAAAGTATAATCCATCCAAAAACCACAAACCAGCAGATGCACCCATTTATGTCTTATGTGTCTATCTTACCGATCGGCGACAGCTCTGCCACGCTGGTGATGTAGGGCCCCTCTAGGAACTTGGGCTCGCTGTCATTGATATCCTGCACCTTGATGACGAACTCAGACTCAGGCTCCAGGGGGTCGTTGGAGAGCCTGTCCCGCGCCTGGGCTCTCAGGGTGTAGAAAGCCTTCTCCTCCCTGTCCAGACGAGCCGTGGCGTGGATGTCTCCGGTCAGTTCGTCGATAATGAAGATGGTCCCGGCGCCTTCACCCGAGATGGTGTATTTGATGTTCCCCTCGCCTTCGTCTGAGTCTGTGTGGATCTAGAAACACAGAGAAATAGGTGTAAAGTTGAAGGTTAAATGCTTTAAAGTTTATTGTTTTGTTTAGTTTTTTTTCCATGTAGGACTATTTAAGCAAAACATGTCTTGCCCCAGTACAAATATATTGTATAAGAAGCTCTTAAAGTCAAAATAAGACAGTCAAAAATAGCTTTGCAATGTCTGCATCCAAATAAAAAGTATGTTATTATTATTTTGTCTGACAGTTCTGAATAGTGCTCACAAATTCAAAGTAAGTAGGGATTAACTTTGGACCATTGCAAATTGTTTTAAATGAACTAGTTCTGTTTTTCACATTTTTAAGACATTAAAAATCAGGTACGGTGCTTTTAATCTGTTGTGCGCTTTTTCTTCAAAGATTAACCGAGAAAATCTGGTTTTATTTAAGCCAGATCCTTTTCATTCATATCCACACTCAAATATTTACAAGCTCTTTCACATATTTAAGACAGTAAAAACTCACCATCCTCCTTTAACCTTGTGTCTGAAATGTTAAGGTTACTATTTACAGCAACATAAAACATGTTTTAGTACAAACCAAGGCCATAGTAAGTTACACAACAAACTACACCGTTCCCAAAAGCTTCCTCCTTCTTCTTGTGAGCATAGACAGCAGCAGGAAAGCTAGAGCGCCCCTACTGGCCAGGAAGACATGCATTAGAAATCATATAACAACTGATCACAATAAATTTCTGTTTTAATCCAGTTTTCATTTCATTTACAACAGTGCATGGTTGCAACTGTAGTTTTTAGGTCTTTGTTATACAAGCAAAGGGTGTGGAAAATGAGGTATAAGACCAATATAATGGAATATACATTATGTGTTTATTTTTGCAATCCAAAATATAAAAGTCAAAATAGAATTATAGCTTTTATAACAACTATGTTTTATTTAATGAGACATGGGCAGTGTACAGTTAACCTTAATAGGAGAGATGTTTTGTACCAGGATGTAGCATGAGTGTTACTTTCCACCTGTAGTCCCTGGGCAGGTTTAATTGATTGATTGTGTTTAATTGACCTTATCTATCAGCTATTCTTCCTGGAGATTTATGTAGCATGTTTTTGGTTGATGGGGGAAACCGGAGCGTCCGGAGGAAACCCATCCAGACATGTGGAGAAACATGCAAACTCCACACAGAAACGCCCGGGCGACCCAGAGTTAGAACCCAGAACCTTCTTGTTGTGAGGCATGAGTGCTAGCCACAGTTACCATGCCACAGATTTATGATGATTATTTAAAGCCACTTTTTTTTTTTTGGCCAAAACAGAGTAAAAATAAAAGTAAACTGTAAAAATTTTAAGTGGCCACTTTTTAATATAGCACTTTTCCCCTTCAAAATAATCAAAGTACTTTACATCAAGGAGCCACTCACCCGCTACACACAAGTGTACACAGACATTGGAGGTGAGGTGGGTTAAGTGCCTTGCCCAAGGACACAATCATCACACAATCATCTGTGGAAGCTGGAATCACTCTGCCAACATTTGGATCAGTGGACAAACCCCCATGTATGCACGCTTACTGCAGGCTTGAATCTTCAAAACCTGGCTCCATTTGGACTAAAAATGTTCTTTAGTATGACATAAAACATATTGATCTGCCTAGACAATGTTCCAAAGTGAGCTTTTAACTTTCAATTTCCATAAAAGTTTGTAGATGACACACCACCTCCAGAAAGTTCCATACTACACTTTTAATCAAACATAGGATCTCTCGTGTGCAAATGAATTTTCATGTAAAATCACCACAACCTCTTTGACTTTTGATTTGAAAAACTCCTAAAAACATAGCATAAAAACCATAATTACTACAAGTGTTCTGTTTACATATACAGCCTTGTGCGAGCCGAATCTGAGGACGCTGATCACACACAACCACGGCGAATATGCGAAGCCTTTTATTGTTCTAACTCACGCACTCCCAACCAGTGAAACTTCTTTTATTATAGCTGAAATATTGATAGCACCAAAGCATCTGGCAGTATATTTTCCCCGACTGTCTCTGTATTTGTCTGCAGGATGGATCGGGGAGGAGGGGGATGTCGACAGATAAAAATGGGAGCGCGCTACGGAGAGGGGAAGCAATATCACAGCACAGGGGCCGCATTATTCCAGCGTTTTACGACAAATACTTAATGAAACCCCCGCGAGCCTGATAGAAGCCTGTATTTAATTAAAGCTTTATAAAATATTAACCAGGGGAAGGCATGGGCGATCTACCCTCTCCCCCCTTTGCTCTATTCTGCAAGACCCAACCACACTCGCGGACAACTCGGCATTATAATTTCAGATGGAGGTGCGGCGATGGGAGGGCGGGGGGAGGAGGGAGAGCCAGGTTTAGTGCTTAGTAAAGAGCCAAAGGGGAGATGGAGACCTGGGACCGATGCTATACGCCTATTGCTGCCAGAGGAATGGTCTAATCACATTAAGGCCAAACTATACAACTGATTTATAAGAGCGCTTTTAAGTCGGTTCCTAGGCTCTGGTACGTGGAGATTCTTACCTTTTAACAATCTTTGAAATGACTTTGATGGCCTAATTTGGGGGCCACACCGCGTGAAGGGCAGAATGTGCAGGGGTATAGGTGTAAATCACATACATAGCGCGGTGTCTTTTTAACAAGACAGCTGTGATGGCCGGTCCGCGGGGATGAGGATGGGAAAGGGGATGGGGAGAGAGTCGGGAGCCTTCACCTGGAGGAGAGGATGGGTGGATGGGTGGAGGTGGGGTGAGGAGGAGGAGGAGGAGGAGAGGGGGAGTGGGGGTGGTAAACGTAGATGACCAGTGACCTTCTTCTGACAGACAGAGGTTGTGTGTGAGGATTTGCATAAAAAGCAGGAGTCTATTCATTAAGCGTTGTAATATGTTCATTTTGGAAACATGTTTATGTATTTGACCTCAAATTATATGAGAAATATCACAGATTGTACATATCATCAACTGGGGGCTTTTCTAGTATATAACACATTTCATTTGTGTCTCTGTTGATAACTGTTTTTCAGGTGGGGGGGTCCATCACCTGCTTGTTTCCATGGAGATACTACTGTTTTTCCTTGTTTATTCCACAGTATAGAATAAATTTGGTCATCATAATGGAGTTAATGGTGAAATCTATGGAGACGCAAGCTTGCACATGATAAGAATTTAGTTTTTCAAGGTATTTTTGAGCTACGAAACACCTGTAATTGAAAAAAAAAAAAGGCAAGGCACATATGTTTTTGTAGCCAGGTTGGAGCCACCTAGTGCCTACACTCAATTTCGTTTCTCTCCAGCAACTAGGTCAAGAATCAAAATACAATAGACAATTTGCAAGAACCTGGGAAGTTGTAGAACAACGCATCGGACAATCAGCGAAGAACTGTGAAGCCATGATGTCAAACAGAGCACCTGTCTGGGTCCCTTTTGTGGTACAACACAACAGTTAACAAAGCGGTCTCGAGATTAATGTAGATGAAGCCGTACATTCTGTGTTGGCAAAGATTCCCGAGATCAAGGATTTAAAGTCGCAACAAAGAGAATGTTTGGTGAATTTTATCAAGAGGAAAGATGTTATTGCCCTTCTTCCTACGGGATTTGGCGCATTACATACAGTACGTCACGACCAAATAGCAGCGATTGGTTAAATTAAAAAAAAATATCCGCCTACTGTCAAGCGAACGAATCCTAATGCTGCGAGGTCAGACGGTTTCCAGGAAGTGAAATCGCCTAATGAATCAGGCTTATGTTTAATGCCCTCCTGTGGAACATTTCATGCAAAGAAATAACATCTCCATGAAGACAAGCACGTAGCGGACCCTGTACCTTAGAAGTTGCATAGTGCACTTTTAAAGGAGCATATCTAATTGCCAACATAACTTTAATACTGAGGGAAATTTACGAGTTGGAAAAAACTGCCTTTGTGAAAATATATGGAGTAGCAAGCAGCAGCTTTTTGCTCTCAGTTTCTAACAAATACAAATAATGAAACTGGGCATTTATGTGAGTTTTACAAAGCTCAATTAAACCAAGCTACAATCAATTTACCAGAAAATAGCACATCTTACTTTGTGTCCGTTATTACTACCAGGCAGTGGTGGGACCAGGTCATTGTTTTGCAAGTCTGAAGTAAGTCTCAAGTCTTTGACCTCAAGTCTGAGTCAAGTCCGAGGTCAAATACAAGCAAGTCCAAGTCATCTGCTTTGAACTTCAAGTCATTTCAAGTCTTTAAACCGAGCTTAGATTTTTGTTATTTATACGGATTTTAAACTAAATTGTACTTAAAACATCATGATATATTTATATATGAGTACTTATAGAAAGTAATGTAGTTTATTTTTCTTTTTGAAATGTCTTGACAAGATCTTAGTGTGAATCATTACGGTCAGAATAGAAAGAATTCAGATTTAAAAGTGCTTCTCAAGTCTTTTCAAGTCACAGGCCTCAAGTCCGAGTCATGTCCCAGGTCACTGGCCTTCCAGTCCAAGGCAAGTCTCAAGTCTTCATCAGTTTTATCAAGTCAAGTCTCAAGTCCTAAAAATAGTGACTCAAGTCTGACTTGAATCCAAATCACGACTTCCCCACCAACATCAATGAAGTTTAAGATTTAGTTTAAGATTCAAAATTGCTGCTAAAGGAATGGGGGTCATGGCTCACTACTAGGAATGAGACAAGACAAAATTACACGAGACACAAGATTTTGGCTTCACCATTTTTTTGCTGTCAAATAAGCACTAATTTTTTGGAACTACAGCTTCTCATGAAATGTAACTTTGCAGCATTTAAGCATGTTGTCTAATCAAAATGTAAAGACACAGGGAAAGAAATCTGACAAGATATTTTTTTCTATCTGTTGACAATTTTATCTCCCAGCTGTGGCAGGAGATGTGGTCCCATTCCTTCTCTGTACTATAGGCATTCAGATTTCACAACAAACATCCTAATAGTCTTATGGGAACCCTCACTTGAGCACAAAGGGGAGCCGATCCAAAGAAGAGCTTGCA